GATGCTAATCAAATTAGCAACAGAACTAACTTGATATCTTTTCGGAGTCTATTGACCAACTACTATCAATGAAAGTGTTATCTAGAAAAAATTAAGCACCCAATTCCTGGGTATTATCATAGACAGTGACTTGAGATTTGAAGACCATGTCATAATACTCACTAAAAAACTTTCTTCGGATTGTTATGCGGTAAGAATAACTTCTAGACAACTGGGAACTTCGGCAGCTAAATCTGTTTACTATTCACTAGTAGAATCACACTTGAGATATGGAATTCCCAAAAGGCTCTGTAGTGTATGACTTGTTTTAAAAACCACCTTCATACCTAGTTCCTTGAAAATATTTCCAAAGTTCCTCGTATACTAGTGGTATGGAACTGAGATGTATTTATCTTGGTTTTTGTCCTTTCTGAAAGTCGAGATTTCGTTCATTCTTAACCTAAACTTCTTCTTCCTTATTATGTCATCTACAATACTCCTCGAGAAACCGTTAGTGGCTGCTATTTCCTGTACAGTACNTCAACGTGTTAATATTTTTTTTTGTGAATTGCGTATTGAGGTCAATCGTAAATGTTACTTTCGTAACGTATTCCCGGTACAGGTTACTAGGTTATTGACCACCAACTTTTTTGTAACTGGGTCGAACTGTTGTGTTGCAGTTTTCATTTCGTCATCTCGTTGAAATATTGTTTTTTTTTATTTCATTGCCTTGGAACCGCTATTGTCAATACGTCTTTTTGTGTGCCATTAAACAAGGTTGAATCAATTACATATTGTACATCCGTATGTAACGTTTAAATATTGTTTTTTTTTTTATTTCATTGCCTTGGAACCGCTATTGTGAATACGTCTTTTTGTGTGCCATTAAACAAGGTTGAATCAATTACATATTGTACATCCGTATGTAACGTTTAATTGTTCGTAATAACAAACAAAAAACTTTGGAAGCAATTAGTTTCAGTGCCAATAACTGAACAAAAATGGCACGTGTTATATTGGGAACTATCCTTGAAATATGCCCATAATTAGCGAAACAATGGCCTGCCAATGAAGAGTGGCATTCGCTTGAAGATATAATGTATGATCATGATCGTGACTCATCCTAACCTTGAAGCATCAACAACGTGTATCTATTTTTTTGTAAAATCATTATAAATAACATCATGTGCGCATGTAGAACCATGTATGTATAGTAGAATCTTTTTTCGGAGGGGACCCATGTTTAAAATCAAATAAAACAGTGTCTGGGGATATCATCGAAATTTCATTTGAACAACCTATTGATGTCATTGTGTGTGGAATATAACGCCGTTCAAATGTTCGCCCCGGCTTCTCTGTATGGGCAATCCTGGGAAGCTGTGCCGAAGAAATATCTGGCGATGATCAGGAAAAACCTACTACGCTTAACAGTAGGATTTCTGACTGGCCACTGTCAAGTAAGGAAACACCTCCATGTCATGGGGCTAGTGGACACACCTCTATGCAGGATGTGTGAACAGGAAGATGAAACTGTCAGGCATATCTTATGCGAGTGTCCGGAGTTATCGTCAATAAGAGAGTGTGTCTTCGGCGAGTCTTGGCCTACAAACTGAAAAGCTGATATAAATGTGGAAGATATGTTAAACTCAAACATATTTTTCTTTCAGATATTTAGTTAGACGGTTTTTAAAAATTAAAATGGAGTCACTACATTTAATATCATTGGGAAGTTTATTGTAGTCTAAAAGACCCTTGTGGAAAAAAGAATTCATTGTCATGGTATATTTTGTTCGGGTAACATATAAGTTCTTATTCCCTCGTGTAGGGTAATCAAGGATTTCATTTTTTGATAAGTTATGAACTGGTTGAAATAGGTAGGAAATTTTCCAGTAATAATTTTGAAAATAAATATCATGGAAAAATAGGAAAGCCTGTCTTTTACAGATAGCCAATCAAGAACCTGAAGCATGGTCATTATAGGGGTGTATCTATTACATTTTAGGAGTATACGCATACATCTGTTTTGTAGTTTTTGCAAAGAGGATATAGAGTTTGCATCAAAAAGGTTGAGAAGTGTTGCACAGTAAACAAAATGAGGTCGAATTATCGTATTATAGACTGTTAGTGATGTTTCAAATGTCAACGTGTTACTAACATACATACATACATACAGGTGAAGCTAATAAAAGCGTGTTAATAAAACAAAGTGTCTGTGAGATATCATCGAAATTTTTCAATCATTTGAAAAACCTATTGAAGCCATTATGTGTGAAATATAACGCTGTTCAAATGTCCGCCACGGCTTCTCTGAGTGGAGCGAATCTGAAACGCGGAACTAGCCAAACGTCACACCCATGCTCAATTCCTGAAGAGGTGGGATGTAATCAAAGGATGTAGTCTTGCCAGAATCACCCTGGGCGACGCTGGGAAGCTGGCGCCGAAAAAATATCTGGCGATGACCAGGAAAAACCTACTACGCTTAACAGTAGGATTTCTGACTGGCCACTGTCAAGTAAGGAAACACATCCATGTTATGGGGCTAGTGGAAACACCTCTATGCAGGAGGTGTGAACAGGAAGATGAAACTGTCAGGCTTATCCTGTGCGAGTGCCCGGAGTTATCGTCAATTAGAGAGTGTCTGTTCGGCGAGTCTTGGCCTACACCTGCCGATATAAAGGAGATATCTCCTAGTGACCTGTCCATCTTCCTAGAAAAGACAGGATGGACGATGACCTAGGAGGACAACTCCTCGGGAGGATGTACAATGAGTCACATGTGGCCGACAGTCACCCTCCCTATTCTACAGATACAGAACATTTAATTTCTGGCTGTTATGGACTATGCGTCCGAGGGCCAAAAAAAGCATTGTGGCTTTCTACTACTCCATCTTCGTGAAAAAACTGTGGGAACATTATCTGAAATGTTTTACCCTTTCTGTATCTTTATCTGTAGATTCAGGATATGCCTGTCAGTCTCATCTTCCTGTTCACACATCCTGCATAAAGGTGTGTCCACTAGCCCCATTATATGGAGGTGTTTCCTTAGTTAACAGTGGCCAATTTATCTACCAAGGCTTTGGCTAAATCTTGGTGGCACTCTATTACTAGCCCTGAGGTAACACGTTGCCTGTTCAAGGCTAATAAGGCTTGTCTGCAGTCAGTGCCGATTGTTATATTCATTATTAACAAAGTTATGACAACTGAAAAATTCGAAAACTCACACAGTCACAATATATCATTTTTTTATGATTTCAACAATAAAGTGCCGCCAGACGAAAAAAAAAACAAATAGCGTAAATATTTTTAATGAAAATAACGTAATTACATTCACACAATTCAACTAACAATGAAGCAAAAAATTTTAATGAACGTAACTAATAACTAATTATTGAAATGTTTCGATTCAGTGCAACAATTAANNNNATAAAACAAATATTCTCATGGCTATATCTGTTGATATAGGGGATTTTTTGTGACTGTTAGCTGTGTGAGTTTTCGAATTTTTGAGTTGTCATAACTTTGCTAATAATGAATATTTTTTCATGAAATTTTGGTTACACCTGTTTAGAGGCACTCTGAATCCAGTGGCGTAGTGATTTTTTCAATAAAAAAATCGCTAAAAAAAATCCCGATTTTCGACTAAAAAAAATATCATAGTATGCCCTGAAACTTCAATAAACATTTCAAATTTTGTCCCATGGTAATTGGTAATTGTTAAAATCGGTTTACAACTTCAAATTTTAGGGGGGTGTTTCCATTAAAAATGAGTCACACTGTATATAACTTCAAAAGGTGAGATATTGGGAAATTTTCACATATGATTATAATTGAATTGTTCAAACAATGATACAAATCCTGCAGTGACATTTGTTCCTACAATAAGATTTTCAAAATATTTTGGAAGTGTACTTCCAAGGAGGAAATAAAATAAACAAATTTATTTTTGGGCATCCTTAAGTTACCGAATGTGTCAAGAGTTCCATTTTGAAATTCTCTGAAATAACAGTACAGAGATTCATTATTTAATTCACAATTTGTTTTGGAATAGCTCACACAAATGCCGGAAATATGAATTTTCAGTAATTTCATTTATCAAGTGGTCCTTCGGAAACATGAAAAAACTTATTTTGGATTTTGAACTGTTACTTTTACAACTATTTACAGCACTAACGTGTCCACCACCTATTAGTTTTTCCATTATGGTAAAAGTTAAAATTCACGATACGCACAGAACACAGAGTCCTAACAAGAGCAAAGCCAGAAGCAGAATGAGAAAGTCTGTCACTTCCCAAAATGGCGGACTCATCAACGCGACGGATATACGCGAACTTCTCCCGCCAAGCGAAGTGACATTGCTGATTGTTACCTATGCTGTGCTATTCCTACTTCCTATTTCGAGGTTTACACCAGCCGTGCGCAATCGTAACATGGCCAATAACGCAACCTCCTTAAGGGTCTTCATCCCTGAAAAAAAAGGAGTCAGAAACGATTTTTTTTATTCTGATTGAGGAAAGATTGTATGAGTGTATAAAGGAAAAATAATAAAAAAAATATTTTTCGAATATTAGATGAATAAAAAGTATTCTCTCTCTCATTTTTGGGCATTTTTCTTCAATTCCACCATCAAAACTAACGAATATTTTGGTGTTATNATTTTTAAAGGTTATGTTGAAATTCCATGCCAAACTTCAGTTGAACTATCAGCTGTTCCAATCAGAAATTTCAAATTAATCAGAAACCAATATTTACCAGACATGCGCGTTGACAACGATTTACAAACAGTTGGAAATCTGTTTGTGACTCAAGGTTGGAACGAAGCTATTGCTGATTGTTACCTATGCTGTGCTATTCCTACTTCGAGGTTTACACCAGCCGTGCGCAATCGTAACATGGCCAATAACGCAACCTCCTTAAGGGCGCTTGGTGTTGTTCTCATGGCTCCAGTGATGTTTAAACAAGCCAGTCTTACCCTTTACCGCTAATTGCCTTAATCTCCGTTTCTGATTTGTCCTTTTTTTTCAGACGATGATAAACATGGCGTTCTGCTGGCTGATCCTCTTGGGCCGGGCCATACAGAAATTAGTTTTTGGCGAACTGCGCGTATCTGAACAGCAACACCTGCGAGACAAATTCTGGAACTTCGTCTTCTACAAGTTCATCTTCGTGTTCGGCATCATCAACGTCCAGTACGTCGACGAAGTGCTGCTGTGGTGCTCGTGGTTCTCGCTGCTCGGCTTTCTGCACCTGCTCTCGCAGCTCAGTAAGGACAGGTTCGAATACGTGAGTATGGGTTGAATTTTGGCACTGGTTCAATAAAGTGTGCAGATCAGATCCTTCGGCGAAGATCGCCGCCGCCGTCAATGATCCCGTCATTGCATTTTGTGACGGACTCAGTATTCCTTCTTTACAGATATTATACAGGGTGTTTCCTAACTACTGTACGAAACTTCAGAGGGCGATTCGTTAGGTCGATTTAAGAAGAAAAGTTTCTATGAAAATATGTCCAGAATTGCTTCGTTTCTGAGATAAACGGTATTCGTTTGTTTCATGTCGTTTTGTGTTGGTGTTGTCTCGGAAAATTGGTTGTTGCAATGTTTTTTTTTTAATATGTATCTAATTTGTCTGATGGTTTTTAAAATAGTAATATTATCAACACGAAAACACTACTTTTCGAGCACTGAAGAAGAATTTAATTGAGTTCGAAACGTCGGCCTATAAGTAAATGAGCAAAATGTCCACCTTCTGATGAAATACACGATTGCAATCGATTCATCGTTGATTGTCTAATATGTTCAAAAGTACCTGTAGTATTGCTTATGACATTGCAATTATCAATTAGTATATTCCTCAAGTCATTCACATCTAGTTCAGGAGTTTTATAAACAAGAACCTTCAGATGACATCATAAATACAAATCTAGAGGATTCATATCAGGACTGCGAGCTGGCCAATTTTGAGGTCCTGCATGTCCAATCCAGCGATTACGGTAGGTGATGTCGAGATGCTGACTAGCAAGAACACTAAAATGAGCTGGAGCCCCGTCGTGCATAAACCGTATGCTGCCTCTTACAAGTACCGGCACATAACAAAATGGTTAAATTATCTTTCAAAAATTCCGTGTAGGTTTCACCTGTTAATCTTGCTGGTAGGAAAAATGGGTCATTCAGGTAGTTATCAAGCATTCCTACTCAAACGTTCAGCGAAAATTGTTGCTGAAAATGACTTTCTCTAGTAACTTGGGGTTTTTCGTCGGCCCAAAAATGATCATTGCGAGAATTCATAGTAGCATTTCGTGAAAAATTTGCTTCGTCCGTAAATAAAATATTTAGTAAAAATTATTATTGTGTGCCATCGTATGAGTCTTGGGTGAAAATCCCGAAGCGGTAGAGCTTGGACCCGCTGTTTGTGATATGGGTATAGGAGGTTTTTTTAGAACTCTTACTATTTGAAGGATCTTCTTCTATCGCATCAAGTATAGCTTCCTCTGGTTCAATCGTTATTACAGTTTCTGGTCTTCCACCACCTGTACCATTATTAACATCTCGATTAAACTCTTCAATAAACTCCCAACACAGATTAGGGATATCCAAATAACACATTTCAAACCAAAAATAAAACAATCCTTCTAGCACTCAACATCTATATCTATAGCATTGAAGAAACAAGAGAACAGATTTTTAAGACGATGCTAAAACGTATTTTGGTACCTTGAGCAAATAAAGTCAAGTCAAGTCAAAAATGTTTATTGGTTTTTAAGGATATTTACAAAATATTGTGAATGTGTTGTGTGGGGCCCTGCTATAGGCTTATGCCTCTTCAGGGTTAGTGGGTTGTATGTGTGGTGTTTTGTGTAATGATGTCTAGTGTAGTGTTGTTTTAGTGTCACGTGTTCTTTTTGTTTTTAGCCTTTCCGTTGTTCCGTTAGACTGGTCCGGGTCAGTTGCAGTGGTCGTTGGGGTTTTTTAGGCCGGGGGTCATGACTTCAGATTTCAGCTTCTTCCTGGAAGCAGCTGTCCATTATCTGATTCCAAGTGGGTATTCCTCTAGGATATCCTGGATCTGCTCCGGCGGATCTTCCATTGTTCCCAGGAGTTTGGCTGGGGGAAACGGGAGCATTTTTCTAGGAATCCTTCTGGGTCCTACACGAGGAGTCCACGGTGTGGTCAGAGAGTAGATGGCATTGGTGTTGCTACTGCTCATCGTTCTAGTCGCGTATCGTTCCTGAAGTTTCTGAAATCGTAGGTTGATTGGTGTAGTGTTTATTAGGTTATATAAGTTTTGGGATGGGTATCGGTAACGGAGGTTGTGGATGTTGCGTAGGATTCTTCTCTCGGTAGTTAGGATACGGTGGGATAGTCTTGGGGGAAGCGTACAGTATTTCATCGCTTTATAGTCTAGGACTGGTCTGATGAAAGATTCATAAGTATGTAGGAGATTTTTACTGTCGCACCTCTCGAGATTGCCTCTCAGTGCTTTTAGCAGGTTTGCTCTCTTCCGGACTCTCTTCCAGAGTCCAACTCCCAGTTGAGGGTCCTCATGAAAGTGACCTCCAAGTAGGACACCGAATTCTGGAGTATGAGTTTCTCCTAAGAGTCTGAGGTTCAAGTTTTCGGGATTTAGTTTAGGGCGGGTAGAGGTGTTAGGATGTCGGAATGGGATGGTTTGGATTTTGGTGGGATAAATTTTGATACGCCACTTGTTGCACCACTGCTCGAAGTGGTACAACAGACGCTAAGTAATCGTTAATAACAGTGGTGTTTAGAAACTGAAAAATATTGAACGATTCCTTCAGAAAATGTTATGAAAAAAGGATTTTTAGTTGTATATGTTGAAACTTTTCCTTTTTTCAGTTGTCTTTTTCGCCACGCACCCCGTTTTGGAGCCACGTCAAACTGATGGCTCTCCTGGCTGCAATTTTTGCCTTGTCTGGCTTCATGTTCGTCGTCTCAATTTTCGTCGGCTTCTTTGGCGGTTTCAATACTTTTGCCTTCATGTCAGCAGAGGTAAGTTAGAAAGAGGTTAATGACGATATTTTTTTTAGTAAATTTCCATGCTACTTGCTTAACTGATGACATATGAAAATAAAACAGAATTAAATCCAGTTCACATGTACTTTTTTTGTAACAAAATGTCACCAAAAAAAACTAAATCGAGTACATGTGAACCAGACTAATTATTGGAAAACCATTATCAACTTGAATTAACTTTATAATGAACTCCCTAGATGGATAAAAAAAACTGACCATTAAAGTAGATTCAAAACGGTTCATATTTTTCACTTCCAGATGTATATGATTGCAAGATGTACAGGGCGTTATGTAATAAGTGTCCGATGTTTTACAAGACGATTCCTCAGTTATTCATAAGGTTAAAAGTTCATACAAGCATGAGTCCGTAAGGCCTTCATTTTTTGAGATACAGGGTGTTAAAAATGTATTTTTATTTTGGTTGTTCGTGCATAAATTTCAAAATAATGTTGATATTTGGACAAAAATTGGTATTTGGGGACTCTTTAGTATGAGAAATTCAAATTTGGTTTTATTTTGGCACTTAATTGTTGGAGGCGCCACCTACCGGTCCAAAGTGTTGAGGTCTGGTAACCTAGAGGGCTATGGTTGAGGCCCTCCCTGACCTATCCAACGATTGCCGAAAGTTTGATATGAAAATTCTCACGCTTGTATGCTAAAATGTGAATAAACAACATTTCATTTCAGAGTCTAAGCGGCACATCTCTCAATAGTCAAATCTTCGTCAAGAAAATGTTGATATCTCTCTCAGTTTAATCTTCCCAGAATAAAGACTGAGCCTATAAAATAATCTACTAGGATTTCTGCCCACACTTTGAAAAAGAACTCTTCTTGGAAATGTGATTTCTGTATCGCATGGGGTTTCCTCTGACCACAAATGATTGTTGTGAAAATTGCGAATAGCGTTGGGTGAGAAATTTGCTTCGTCGTTAAACAGGATTTGATTTTCAAATAGAGAATTTTGAATAAGGCGTTGGAGAAACCAAGTTGATACGTAACGGAAAGTCAAGCGGGTGGAGTGCCTGAACTCTTTGATTATGGAAGGGATATAACAAATTATCAATTACAATTTTCCATACCAGAACATGAGAAATGTCTGTCAGCGCTATTTTTCTGGAGCTTGTTTCCGGGTGTTTTACTGCCAGATTAGGAACTGCTTCCTCGGTTGTTGGGGTTCTTACCGACCGATGTGCATCCGACAGATGACTAGCTTTCTCAAAAATTACTGCTTTCCTTAACCGAGTGTGAATTCTTGAAAAGGTTTTTGAAGTAGGAGTTATGCGGTTCGGATAACGCACCTGATACAAACGTCTAGCCACATATGCATTTTCTTTAGTGAGTCCGTATGTGAAATGTATGTCAGTAGTTTACCATTTTCAAACAAATAGTCACACTAATAACAAATAAAACTATTCAACTATGTGTCAAGATATTGTTTTTGACATGACAGCACAAAAACAAACATTAGAATAAACTTTCTAGCCTACTTGATGCTTTCATTTTCAAAGAGTTCGTGAATCAATGAGAAGACGAGTAAATGCATCGATTAATTTAAATTGAATACTCCACAAAAGAGACCAAGACCTGTAGGTGGCGCCCCCTACAATTAAGTGCCGAACTCAAACAAGATTTAAATTTATTATATTAAAAACTCCCTAAATACTAATTTCTGCGCAAATATCGACATTATTTTAAAATGTATGTATCATGTATCTCAAAAATGAAGGCCTTGCGGATCCATGCTTACATGAACTGTTTACCTCATAAATAACTGAGGAATCGTCCTGTAAAATATCGGACACTCATCACATAACACCTTGTATACTGGCAATTGGACATAAAACGCTTATCATCTTTCGCAATGAGAATTGAAAAACCAATTGAAAAATATATTACAAAATCCGCATTTCTATTTTTTTTTTATTATTGATAAGCGTTCTCTATAGATGGTGAGTAATGTCACTCCATTTTTTTATATCCAAAAGTAACAAAAATTATACCTTTTTATTCAAATGTTGACCTTAATATCGTATTTTACACCCTTTTATCGTATTTTTCAATAACCACAAGGCTATCTTCCGAATGTATAAATTCGGATATAAATAAATTTTTGCAGGTTATATTACTGGCCATAAGAACCCTCCACGTCATCATCCGTTACGCCCTCCACTTGTACGACACGCGCAACGAATGCACAGTCCCAATGAACTCCAGCGAGGAGGAGAGCAAAGTATGGGAGAGGAAGGGCCCCATCTGCTACTACACGGAACTCTGCTTCGAACTGACCTCCCTCATAATCGACCTAGTCCACCACCTGCACATGCTGCTCTGGAGCAACATCTTCCTCTCGATGGCCAGTCTGGTGGTATGCATGCAGCTCAGGCACCTCTTCCACGAGATACAGCGCAAGTACAAGAAGCACAGGAACTATCTGTGGGTGAGGAACCACCTTGAACAGAACTACCCGATGGCGAACGAGAAGGAGCTGCAGGAGAACTCCGACAATTGCGCCATCTGCTGGGAGAAGATGGACTCGGCGAGGAAGTTGCCGTGCGCACATTTGTTTCACAAGTAAGAAAGCGTATTTCGAATTTTTGCTATGTTTATGAGTATTGCCTTTTATTTTTCCACGGACGACGTTAAATGGCGTCGCGGAAACGTGGCTTCGTCGATGACATCCACCTCTCCCACATCTTGGACCGGCAGGAGGGGTGCTGCAGTCCAAGCACCAATCGGGTAGTTCTCACATTCATTGCGAGAAGAACTCAGCTTACCTCCCCTCCTGAATGATGGTTTTGGTGTTCTTACAGGCCCGAATTTCTTGACCTTCTTCGCCGGCTTTTTATCCTCTTCACTACCCATTTTTCTTTTCCTGAGGCTCTCGAACTCATCATCCGAGATGATTCGCGACAATATAGTCGGTGGAGGTACCACCTCTTCGGGTATGCATTTTCCAAGTCCGACAGTCTCAACAAGGAATCTTCTTGATCTGAGTTGAAGCCCTTGAGACTTCATATCAGGAGCCGCCATTTTCTAGGTGGAAGTCATCGCTGGTGGTTAGTGTCGGTGGATGTATGCATTCTCCAAGTCCGACAGTCTCAACAAGGAATCAGACAGTTAGAGATGCTACAGCGGCTCCTCGAGGTCTGGGTTGTAGGGCCCCAGCATAACCGTCAAGGTGGGGATTGCCGACAAAGTTGTTGGCAGCATGGTCGAGAGTAGCGGCGGTTCGTTCTCTTGGTCCTCCTACTCCTCTTGGTTTGAGTTGAAGCCCTTGAGACTTCATGTCAGGAGCCGCCATTTTCTGGGTGGAAGTCATCGCTGGTGGTGGTGGGGCACAAGCTCCTTGGAGGTTGATGTTCTGGTGGAAAACCACCTTTCTCCGCTCCACGTCCTTCAACTGCGCCTGGTTCAGAGGGTTGATGGGGTCAATAAAACTTACTTAACGAAGTTTGGTAGTGTGTACTTACATCGAGCTGCTTTCAACTGCTAACTGCTGCTAAGAATCAACGGATTGATCGGTCGTTTGGCTTCAGTGAGAGTTTTTTACAAGTGAACATATTATAATAATTAATAGAATAACTGTAGTGGCATTTGAGCGAAAATAACGAGAACAATCAAGTACCCAGTACTACTACAGAAATAAACAGGATTTCTGTAGCAGATATGAGGGATATCACGTTGAAATACATTTTAAATAAATTTGTGGCAGTTTGAAATAATATCTGTCGTGTAATTGATCCCAATGGTAACTTCGAAGTTCGATAATAAGACCCTTACAATTTTTAATATATACATGAAAATTATTACAAATTTCGTTCTTCAGTACCTGCTTATTGTCGTGGCTGGAGCAAGACACATCCTGTCCGACCTGTAGAATGGCACTCAACATACAAAACCCGTCCGCAGCCAATCAGGAACCACCCGAGCTGCAGGCCGATACCCAAGAAAACGTTAGAAGACCTTTCAATCACTTTTTCCATTTCGATGGTAAGTCCTCACTCGATCCACCATCAGTTCAATACACTTCTTTCGGAAAGAGTTCTCACTAATGATTCAAAACCTTTTGCAGGTTCCAGGTATGTTTCGTGGTTACCCAGCTTTTCAGTCGAAGTCAGCCACGCACAAGCCATTCGACAGAATCACATCGCTGCTTCTAATTCCCAACTAGACGCAATGGCGAGACAGGTAGTTATACTCATCAATATCATTCGTTCATTGTTAGGAATTGAATTTTCAGAGGTCACGGAGACCTGTGTATAAAATTATAATTTTATCTTTTCCGATTATTTCAGGTTCAGACTTTGTTTGCGCACATTCCTCTGTCAACCATCATCGAAGACCTAAGGGTGACCCGTTCTGTGGAAATGACCATCGAAAACGTACTGGATGGAAGACTTGTTGCGCCTCCGTTGTTCAGGGATCTTGATCTAGATCAGCCATCGAGCCGACCTTTGTCTCTGCTTCAGACAGATCCGGAACCTAGCACTAGAGACTGGGATCAGTTCAATACGGAAAGTGTGGAAAGGTAAGTGGTAATTATGTTGATGTTGCTAATGGAGTTCCAAGGGGAATTATATCAGAGCCAGCACTGTGTATCTAAATACAGTGCGTTTCTTTAATGTCCCCCCCTTTTATTTTTTGAACAGGTCAACTCAAAAAATTGAAATTGGGGATAATGAAATTAATGCAGATGAAACTTTCAAGATGGCGACTGGGCGCCATCTGGGAAAAAAAATTTAATTGAAAGGGGGAGTCTTGTGACACATCATTTTGAAGCTCCTGACGAATACTTCACAACCTTAGAATATGAAGTCAATATCTTCACTACAAAATGGCGGAATATTCAATAATTTCCTGAAGACAAACACATTAATGTCGATATTTTTAGAAATATTCCTTTTTATCTGCCAAATGGCAACTCCAACAACCCGATAAGGTTTGTTGAATTATTTTTTGTTCATAAAAACGACAAAACATGTCAGTACGACAATGAACATCATTGTTCAGTTAGAATATTCTCATTTAGTTTTCGGTTTTACTAGTAGAAAGGTACCACGTCAACAATCTCTAAAATGATCAATTCTCATCCATTGGAAGAAAAAATTGAAGCGATTATTATTTACGGTTCGACGCATAACTTTCACAAGACCGAAAATATTTTCAAATAACGTTTTCCGAATCGTCCTATCTGTAGAAAATATCTGAGGAAACTTGTATCCAAATTCACAACTACCGGTAGTGTACAAAACAAAAAGCCCCCAGGTCATCCGTCCACTCCAGAAGAACAGCAAGTGCAAATAACTGGTGAGACGGTAGTACATCCTGAACAGTCTACTTATTCCGTCGCGAATGTTTGTGAGGTGTCTCCTTATACTGTGTGGAGACTTTAGAAGAGGAATAAGTATCATCCATACAAAGTTAAAATGGTTCACCAATTAACTGAAGATGACTCTGATCTAAGAACAGAATTCTCGAAACCATTGCAAGGCATCCTACCTATCTCCACAATATTTGTTTTAGTGGCGAATGTACATTTTTTTTCCAACAGCAATGTTCACAGACAAAACTGCCGTTATTGGAGTGACACCAACCCTCACGTTTTCCGGGAAACACATACCCAATATAGAAAAAAATTAACGTTTTGACAGGAATATTGGGAAACTATATTGTAGGACCTCTATTTATTGATCAAAATTCAACAGGGGAACTGTATTTGAATATGCTGGAAACTACTGTTGACCCTCTCATCACTGAAATCGTCGAGGGGAATCCTAATGAATTCGATATGGATATTGTATTCCAACAAGATGGAGCACCACCACATTACTACAGACAAGTAAGAAACTATTTGGATACTACTTTTCCCGGTCGTTGGATGGGTCGTCGAGATCCTACAGAATGGCCAGCCCGCTCGCCAGATTTGATACCTTTGAACTTTTTTTATAAGGCTATTTGAAGCAAAAGGTGTACGGATATTGGATATACGGCAGATAATAATAAATATTTGTAGAGATATTGACGTTACTGTGTCCGAAAATGTTCGGTGTGAAATATCAGATAGGCTGTTCATATGTCAAGAAGTTCAAGGCAACCATTTCGAGTATCTTCTGAACGGACCTCAAGCTTACTACCGCATATTATATAGTCAAATGTCAATGTATTCAGGCAATTATTAAAAGTTCCGCCATTTTGTAGTAGTTGAAGATATTGACATTATATTCTAGGGTTGTGAAGCATTTATCAGGAACTTCAAAAAGATGTGTCACAAGACCCCCCTTTCCATTTAATTTTTTTCCCAGATGGCGCCTAGTCGCCATCTTGAAAATTTCATCTGTCAATTTGTCTTCAAAATAAAGTATTCATGCATTAATTTCATTATCCCAAATTTCAATTTTTTTGAGTTGACCCGTTTAAAAAATAAAAGGGGGGACATTAAAGAAAAGCACTATATATTTATTTGACAGTACCATTTTTTGTGAATGAGGAGAGTAGAGTGCCTGTGATAGAAGTTTATTTAACCACATTACACTTTACATGTTTGTAGCAAGTCATGACAAATTTGTTACATGTTGTTACATATTGTTACAAATTAGATATTAGTCATGTGGATATATGTATTACAAGATTTTTTGAAATTGAAACCCAACCTATGCATATGTAGACACTGGAAGGCATGATTATGATGTTTTTGGTAAAAAAATTACAAACAGACAATGACGAACGGCGCATGATTTCAAGATAATACTCCTTGTTGACCGTACGACCATGTGGAAAGAACTCCTATTGCACTACATCACAGTAATTGAATAAAACAGTGAGCAAAACCTCGATATTTGATCGAACTTGGCTTGCTTTTTTGGTCTTGGCTCTCCTGAGCTCTCCCATTGGGACGATTGGACTTTGGTTCAGATCTCATCACCATATAATATACCCTTGATTCGTCACCAGTTATGACTCTTTTGAAAAAATCAGGATCGCCGTTGAAGTTATTCAACAATTCCTGAGCGATGCTCATGCGTCGTTTTTTTTGTCAAAATTCAGCATTTTTTTAAAGAGCTTCGCCGCCACGCGCTTTAGGCTCAAAATTTCTGAAGACATTGCATCTGGTATCTGTAGAGTAGGGAGGGTGAGTGTAGATCCACAGCACTTAGGCCACACGTAACCATTTGTACATCTTCCTGAGGAGTTGTCCTCCTAGGTCATCGTCCATCCTGTCCTTTCCAGGAAGGTTGAACAGGTCACTAGGAGACGTCTCCTTTATATTCGCAGGTGTACGCCAAGACTCGCCGAACACACACTCTCTTTGGCAACCTTGAGGTGTCTCACGGTGGCCTCCGCGAAGGTTTTGGGAGGTGCAGCGACATTACTGTCGTTTCGCGGCTTCTTGAACCTTCTTGGGGTTCCCTCCGTGGAGGTGCACAAGTGAGGGAGTTTTCCTGCAGGGGCAGCCGGTTCCATGCCTTTATTCAAGGCGGAGCTCTTGGCGCCCGCCGTAGGAAGTGCCCTTGCTGTTGGAGGTGGAGTGGAGAAGGAGGAGGGTGCACTTATAGTTGCTGCCACTCCTGTCTCTTTTGCTCTCTTTCTCCTTTTGGCCTCGGCGCCGCAAATGCGCTTACGCCTTGGCCTTTCTATTACTTCACGAAGTGATCTGCTTTGTCCAGCCGCATTCCAGACGGTAGATTGTGGGTGGACATTTCTGTTCATTCACAGCCACCGCCTTACATTGAGGTGAGCATTTCTGTCCAGCCTCGTGATTGGTTTTTGTTTTTGTTGTTTCTGTTTGTTTCATTCATGTGTGTTCCCACGAGTGGCAAGGGAAGAGTTGGTCGCCTCTGGCAGAGCCCCGCATTGCCAGAGGTAGACTGATTACAGTGAGGTTTCGCTCAGTTCCCCAAGGGGATCGTTCATGACCGCATATCACCCTGTGGCCATTCAGCTGTCGGCACGATTCCTTACACCTTAGTTTGGGTAGGCTGGTCCACGGTGGCATGTTTCGCAAAAGCTTTTGGGGAGTTTTAGTTCCCCTCACCCTACTTGTTTCTGCCACAAACCAGGAGTTCGGCGACCCCTTCCTTAAGGCTACATTGGCTTCCCGGACAGGGCCTCCAATCCCCTGGCCGTTCCTCCAGTCCCCTGGCCGTTCCTCCAGTCCCCTGGCCGTTCCCCTATCTGCCACCTGGGGACGCACCCGATAGGTAGCCCAACTCACGGGAAAAAAATTTCATGTTATGAACCAACCGATATGCAACTCCGCTAATAGTGATTCGACGATTTTCCTTAACAATTGTTGTCACTTTCTTAACATTTCCATCTGTTATTGATGTGCTGGGGTGTCCAGGGCAAGCATCGTCATTCATGTCTTCTCGACCTTATATAAAAAGCTTGTACCACTTGTAAAAAAAATTCTTACTCAGAGTACAATAATCGTATGTCAATATTTCAAGTGCACTTAATTCCATTTTTTACACAAAATTTGATGCAAATTTCTTGATCCATTTTTATTGATAGCAAAAAATCGCCAAACACACGAGACACTTCCAACTTTTATGTCTCTCGCCAACAAACTAAACATACTAAACAACTGAAATTGTGAACATGTGTTCGAGACGAGTGTACCAACATTTAAAAAATGCTAATCTTATTTACGTAGCTCGCGAAATTTGAATATTCATATTTTTTTAACGATGTTAACGTATACTTCACTAACCAATATTTTTTCAATTAGCGAGGATTCTGTATCCTTGGGCAGTCGTTTTTCGAAGTCATCATCGGAACGCGAAAAAATCCTTCACAAAAGAAAGGAGAACATGATCCAGCAGGCGAGGAGGAGGTACATCGAGAAGCAGAAGGCGGCCGTAAGCGCTGTCCAGTCGGAACTACAAAGTTGAAGAGCTGAATGGCTGTGAATGAAGAAAAACCTGGAAAACCGATTGGATAGTCGTCGGAGTGTTCGCAGATAAATTGTTTGAAATATTATCGCAATTATGTATTGCTACCATAGCTGTATGTTTTAGGAATAAAAGAAATTGCCAAAATTAAGGAGAATCGCAAGAGATAAGATCTCGGTCGATGTTCAATCATTCTCTTTTGGTATAATAGAGAGAGCGTCCTATTTAGTTTTTGTTGATTCTAGAACATGAAAGTACATATTTTGGTATTGGAATTTGGACGTTTTTGCTCACTTTCGGTGAAAGTGGGCGAGCTCAATTGAAAGATATCCTATATTTTTTACAAGCTAGTGTCGCAATGTCCGTAATTTCTAAGGTACCCTGTATCACGAGGTGTATTTATATAAACACTTCAAAGCTTCTGTCGTATGTCAACAATAAACAGCACTTTTCATATTAAGTTTCTTTATGTAATAATGAATAATAAAGAGGAACAGTGTGTTGAAATTTCATGAAACCATCACTGTATTTTGCTCAACATAGTTGAGTTGTTACAATTGTGAAAAAAGAAGAGTCTATTGTTTTTTTTTGTGATCATAGACAAGTACTTTCTTTTGAAACATTTTTCATCATATTTTGAATATGAACATGCATTATACATTATTTTTAACTTAAATATTTCTGATGGAACTAAAAGAGATTAATATCACTAAAAAAATCAATCAATATTCAACGTATTCAAAAAACACTTTATTGTGAGATAAAGCGTTTTTTAAATACGTTAGTTATGAATTTTCATCTCAAGTATTAGCCAATTCCATCATATAAAATTATTAATCTGTAAAATCAGGTAATATAGAAAAAAGTAATTTTTTTTTGGCTAGGAATCGCACGTTAAAATGTATAACCTTGTCAATAGAAAGCCCTTTTCTTTATTCAGTGACAAAATTAATGTATTTTCGCAGGCTGTTGTAGAATGTGATTCTAGTGGAGACTAATGGGGTAATACCAACTTTGTTTTATGTGTGAGTTTTTAAATAATTTGGTTGTCTGGTGAGAATATTGAAAAAAATCCAAAAAAAAAAATGGGAATAATCAGAATATATCTATGAAAGTATCATGATTTATCAAGAAAAAAATTATGTACATTGTAATAAAAACCAAAAGTCATTGAAGCTAGTCGAAACAAACACATTTCCAAAACTATTATTAAAAATATATTTATGGAAAACCTGAAAAACTAAAAGTGAAAAATTCCCAAACGTAATTCAGTGTATTTGTTTTTTCGTTTTTTTTTTTGTTAAAATGAATAATAAAATAATCTAGTCTAGAAAAATTGTTGATGTTTTTGTTTTTATAATGTAGATTTCTGATACCTGCAAATTTATTCTAAACTACCATTTTTTATCATGTATGCATTGAAAAACATATTTTTTTGGTAAAATATATCCTAAAGTGTGTTCCCCGAATAGATGGAGTTGATCACTGCATCCGTTCGGGGAACAGGCTATAAAAAAGATGTCACAGTAATTATAATTGACGGTATAAGAAATATTTGAAAGCTTATGTTTATGTTTTGTCAAATGAATCAAGATTTGTTTTGAACAATGATTCAATGTGGAGTAAATTTATAAGTTTGTAAAATAAGTGATTGCGTAAATCTTTTTTGTGGCCATATCCCAAACAAATCAAATATAGAAGATATCAGATATTTTAGTGGTAAAAAAAGATCTTAACTTGTCTAAAATAATAGTGACTGGGATATTTCCTTGCTCGTATTTTAAATATTAGTACTGGGTAACATGTTTTTCTTTTGCAGTTTCTACAATTTTACCATTTCATGGTTCAGCAAACCGAAACCACTTTTGGTGGTTTCAAATCAGGCATGTTAATCGGCTCCTTGTGCGGATCGGTTTGAGACTTCACTGCGAACTGATCGTCAGTGCCGAGTTAGTTGAAACCTTTATTTTCGATAATGTCTCAAAAATTGTACTTATGCTCTCCACTTGCCATTTTTTCATACTTTAGGTATTGAAGTTTAAGAAAAATAACTTGGTGACTGTTTACCAAAATGGCTTATGATGTTCATTTTGTTAAACCTTTGATACGGAGACCATTCCGGTGAACTTCATCGGCTATTGAGTACCGCTTAGACAAAGATTACCATACAGGGTTTCTGAGAAAACCCATATATACGCCGTGGTCCTTTTGTAATAGATTTGTAGGGTGAATAGGTATATTTTCAATATAGGAAATATGTAATTGCCATGCAAATTACTGTGTGCCAGATATTAAAGGCCAAATTTGTGTTATCCTGTACCATATATACTTAATTACAGATATTATCTTGTGGAATCTTGTTGTGCTGATCTGCTGTAGATAACAAATCAATAAAATGAATTGTAATTATCGTAGTTGGTTTCTTTCGTTCTCAAATTCCTACCTGAACACATATACGGGGTTAGTTCCAAAAGTAAAGTCTCCTGTTTTCAAAGAAATCCAAAAACAGCATATTATCATGTTTACATCATTTCAAGAATAAAATAAGCAATAATACAAAAATTATAAAAAATTGAGGTATGCCCAGATTTGTTTATTATTTGCAATTTTCTGAGATATATTAAAACTCTTTTATATGCAGATGATTTCAAGTTTTTGTTAGGGTTGCAAAATCAGATGATGATTTAGATTTCCCCAACAGGATCTTAACAGCAATACTTTTGATTTTTTTCACATTTTATAAAGCAATTGAGAGAGTGCATAAGGTTAGGCTCTTTGGAATTTTACTTCATTATTCACTGAAGGACTTCACATGTCTTACTTGCGGACTGCTCCTGCTCCTCCACTCTTTGATTTGACCAATCTTGGAATATGGCTCTGTCTTCTAGAATCTCTATTATAAAATTCAATTTGAGGTTAAAATTTATAGTATGAAATGTTACTCGCTGTGTATTATCATGTATTTTGTTGATGGCCCATGTGCATTCTTTAATCATCCCTACATATTTTTTCTGTGACTCCATTGTTGACATCAAAGAAACACTATTTACAGTTACTTGATATTCCATGTTTAGATTTATGCCGGTTCTTGGTTCTGTGACTACTCTTTTTTATTTTCAAATTTTTATTAGAACTTTGAAAATAAACAATTGAATATTTATATTTTACTTATAGAAGAGATTTACAAATATGTTGGTGTGATTTGCAATCTGAGTTACATTCACTTTCAGTGACTTGAAGTGACTAGACAAATTGAAAATAATATTCCAAAAGTAAAAAAATCACAGGGGCAATAAAAACTCATACGATCGATGTCACCAGTTATTTTCAACATCTATCATTCTTGAAGGATGGATTTAGGTCAATGAAATACTGATGGGACATTGCTTCATCTGCAGACATTCTTCCCATTGGGTTACAAACCAACAGTCTTTGAAGGAGATCTCTACCTCTATTGCCCAATTTGGGAACAACCTTAAAGAAAAAAATTGTTTATACAGAGATACCAACTGCAATTATTTTGTTTTACCTGGGCTAGACTCATATTCGGTTGATAAATGGGGAATGGTTTATAATCTGGCAACTGCGTCATACCAGGCCATGTTTCTTCAGTAGGAGTTCCTAATAGTTTGAAGATCCGCCTTAGCTGGTCATCCACATCAGAACCAGGGAATAATGGCCGGCCTGTGTAAAGAAAAACAATAATAATAGTAACTTTGTCATCTAAACTTTGAATTTATGGAAAAGGATTTAATTAATCATAAGAACAAATTAAATGAGATGGAGAAAAATACATATTTCTATGATATTAAATCAAATCAATGATTTTACTATTTTTCAGTGAAGCATATGTATAAAATAATACCTGGTGAACCGGTTTTCTCAATAATGAAGACCAATTTATTACTTAGAGATGATTTTGAAACAAAGTAAGTATATCAACAAAATTTCTCATTCCTATGCTACACAAATCATTTGGAAAAAAAAGCATTCATACTCTGAAGGTTTTCATGATCAAAAGTATAAGGTTTTTCAAAAAGTACAGTGTTAGTCACAATCCAAGTTGCTTTGAAATCAGATTACAACGCCTATCTAACCTGAAATTTACTAATTTCTCAACAATTTTTTATTTTCATAACAAAATCACTATCCTACTTTATTANTTTTTTTATTCAAAAACTGTTTTTAACTAATGCAATTTTTGAATGATCATGTGATTTTAGTGGACATCTAAAAATCCTACCAGCGTTTGCTAACTCTGCAAAAATGCATCCTGCAGACCATGTATCAATCGAAGTTGTATACAGTTTTGCACCGTACAAGACATCTGGGGGCCGATACCATAAAGTCACCACCTCTGCTGAATAACACTTTACAGGAATGCCAAATGCTCTAGCCAAGCCAAAATCTGCCAGCTTAAGTTCCCCATTTTTATTAATCAATAGGTTTTGGGGTTTCAAATCCCTATGAAGAACGTTATGACTGTGACAAAACGCAAGTCCACGTAACAACTGATACATGAAAGATTTAACTACATCTAAATCTATATCGCCGTTTAAGCTATCGAAGTATTTCTTCAAGTCCTGATCACAGTGTTCAAAAACTAAAGTAAGTTTTTTGTCGCTGTGTAAAACATCGTAGAGGCGAACTATATTTTTATGTTTCAGTTCTTTCAAAAGGCATATCTCACGTAGAGCTGACGATGGGACTCCTTCGTCATCATCATCTAGTCGTACTCTCTTGAGAGCAACTATTTCCAAAGACTCCCTATTCTTCGCCTTGAAAACAGTTCCATAAGTTCCTTCACCTATTTTCTCAAGTTTCTCGTATTTTTGCATTGCAAATTCTAAAATGTCAAAACATAAACAAAGTTAGGTTATATTTACTGTCAAGTATCGAGTCCGATTGCCATGTTGCCAATCCAGATTCTTTAATATCCCCAAATGAAAAAATCGAGAAAGAAAATTCTGGGAATCCTCACCTACCGAAAACGGTACTTTACAATTTGCTTCTGTAGAATTTGAGTTGAAAAATCTTTAAATTTTTTTTCACAAATTATGATGAACTGTGACAATGGGTTTTTTTGGATGTATGATTATCTCAATAACCAATACTGCATACATACATACAAATCCCTTCCGTCACAAAAAAAATCTTCACAAACTGTACTATTTCCCACGAACCAGAATAGTAACCAAGTTAAGTGTTATTTCCTCATACATTATAGTAACACTAAGTATAAACTTCTCTGAAAGACTATTGTCCGTTCTGAGTAGACTACAGAGAATGACACCGAATTCATTATCTTGGGAATTCACATGAGATTGAATTTTTGAAAATTATTACATATGAAGATGACAATAAACTCAAGAATATCATTCTAAGGAGACATCTTGTTTTGAAAATTTTTGTCAGTTTTCAATTTAAGGATAGAACTTATTGAACTAATTTTCTAGTAACTAAATCAGACTTTGTTATGAAGGTGTTTTCTTAAATAATTACGGCTGTCTTAACAAATAAAGAAGTTGATTAATAATACTTTCAGCTTTGGCCACAGCAGAAAAAATTAAATTGTGACGTTTGACCACTATTTTATTAGACATTGACATCACATCATGTTAATGATTGACATTTGACTATTTTCAGGAAGGTTACGGGCTACGTGTCAAAACACTTGACCGGTGTAGAAAAAATTTAATACTTCAGGAAAAATGACGAAAATAATACCAGTTATTTCTAAGTTTTACAATGAATACCGTAGTAAAACTTCAAAAAAGCTCAAGGTTATCGATGCTTATTTATTGTACATTCTACTCACTGGGATTGTCCAATTTGTGTATTGCCTACTGGTAGGAACATTTCCTTTCAATGCTTTCCTTAGTGGCTTTATCTCATGTGTAAGCTGTTTCGTATTAGCTGGTAAGTGTAAAACGAGTATTCTTAAAGCTGTTAGATCCTTTTTATATCTACAGTGTTTGAAGACTTGATTGGAAGTTCTGAGAACTTAAGAGCACAGCAGTCAAAAATTTGTGCTGAAACAGTGTAATATCTGAATGAAGTAAAGAAATAACGTTTGCTTCTTTTGTAAAATTACACGGCCAAAAATGCTAGTGCAACCAAAGTTTGTTACGTTATAATACTCATAACTTTCAACGTAGAAGTCTTACTGAATTGATTGTTTTAGAATAATTATTTGGCATTATGATACAAAAAGTGTTTAATAATATCATGGGTGTGGTCTGTTTTCCTAAATAATAGTTACATGTTTTTTTATGCTGTTTTCAAAACGCACATGAGTGGGATTCATCTTTCATTCATCTGACCTATTTGTACAACCAGCCTATTCACCCAGCCTGAATTTGTCAATTTGTATAGCTTAATTGAGCCATATCTTGAACTACCATCCAATACAAAAACCAAAATTATCTTCCCAAAGTCCCGATACGAACCCAGTTGGATATTTATGGGATGAATTGAGGCAGCAAAATAGTCATGCTCTTGCTGAGTAAACAATATTCTTTGTAGAAAACTGATATTTTGGAAAAGTTAGCAAATTAGGAGTGACTCATCATAACATGTTAGGCAGGACCAGGAGGACATTACCCGAAATATTTGTATTCAATGTTATTTTGCTCTTATGATTTCTATTTTAGTTGTACTGACAGTTTTGGTGATAGATTTTTTTATTATACTTGGAAGTCTATTGTACAGTTGTGATTTCATGTATTTTAATATCTAATTAATGTATATACTTGTAACAGTGAAAATTCTGAGATTTTGGAAGATGAGTTTACAGCATGTCCTATCAACTCCTGCTATATACCTTGTGGTTTTTTCTGAATTTTCAATGTTCTGGAACAAGACCTAGATGCTTTCCATGGTAAAATTCTATAGGAATTGACAATATGAAAGTAATTAACAGTTATTCGTTTACACTCCGGTGTAGTTGTTGAATAATTGAATAGAACATAGAACTGGCCGATACTTGATGAAAATCCAAATTAAAACTCATTAATGCAGTTTATATAGTGAAAATCATACAATAAACTATATTGATGAGTTTTAGTTGTTGATTGCTATCGTTTTACAGATATCTACATGCTTGATTCATTCAATTTTTTCTGTACTTTTTCAAACTCAAGAAATTTTGTCTCATCTTGTTGTTGAATTGATCTATTAATAGAATTCACCTGTAAATTGTGAGATGGGTTGATTTTCGAACTTTATAATAATGTCATCGAGTTATAATAATGTCATCGAATTATACTGTGAAATGAGAAAGAAAAATTGAATGCAGAACACTCCTATGTTGAAAGTTAAGTTTTGAACAGTAGAACAATTTTGATTGCACCAGTTTTTTGACCATCAGTGTAGTAATTTGTGCCTAAGTAGTAACTGAAGAAATAGATATTCNTTCAAGTGGTCTAAAAATTGAAGTTGTTCATCAAAAAAAACACCCAGATCCTTCACAGACGAAACATAAGATAATCCATGGCCATTAATTACATAAGAAGTATCAAATTTTTTATTTCTTTTGTAAAAACTTATAAAACAGCATTTTGCGATATTCAACTGTAAATTATTCTCGGAGCACCATGTAACCAATCTATCTAGGTCATCTTGCATTAGTGTTGAATCATATAGTGATCTTATTGGCATGAAAACTTTGAGATCATCTGCGAACATCAAAAAATCAGTATGATGGAAACATTCAACAATGTCTTTAATAAAGATATTGAATAACATAGGAGCGCAGTGAGAACCCTGAGGTACCCCTGATGGCACCTGAATTATAACCGATGTAACGCCTCCAACTTTAACTTGTTGGGTTCGATTACATAAGAAACTTCTGAGCCATGTTACAGCTGAGTCAGAAAATCCAAATATCTTTAATTTTTTCAATAAGATATTGTGGTCTACTCGATCAAAAGCTTTTGAAAAATCCGTATACACTGTATCCATTTGCCCTTTACTTTCCAAAACATCCAATATTTTGTGTTCAAAAATCATCAAGTTGGTAATAGTAGATTTATATTGTGATAATCCATGTTGATTATTTAATAAACGTTCCTTACAATAAAATTTTAACTGATCACTAACTAATAAATCAAATGTTTGCAAGTGAAGACGGACTACAGATACTTCGATAATTTTCCACATTTTGTTTATCACCAGATTTAAAAATAGTTATTCAACAATTCCTAAGCGATGCTCATGCAACGTTTTTTTTTTGGTCAAAATTTAGCATTTTTTTAAAGAACTTCGCCGCCACACGCTTTAGGCTCAAAATTTCTGAAGAAATTGCATCTGGTATCTGTAGAGTAGGGAGGGTGAGTGTAGACCCACAGCACTTAGGCCACATGTGACCCATTGTACATCCTCCCGAGGAGTTGTCCTCCTAGGTTATCGTCCATCATGTCCTTTCCAGGAAGGTGAACAGGTCACTAGGAGACGTCTCCTTTATATTCGCAGGTGTAAGCCAAGACTCGCCGAACACACACTCTCTTTGGCAACCTTGAGGTGTCTCACGGTGGCCTCCGCGAAGGTTTTGGAAGGTGCAGCGACATTACTGTATAAACAGTCATTATTCCTAGAGCCGGAAATAAAGGCCTACAACTAGCCTCCCAATTTGACTTTGTAATACATCTTATGGCAGACTTTTGTAAAATAAAGTAGTTTAACTATGTATGTTTGAGCTGCATTACTCCAAGATAAAGTACCATACTGAAGGTGTGAGTGGAATAGGCAGTAATAAGAAGTTAGCGCTGCTCTTTGGGCAGAAACAGCTCCTCATATTTTATGGGAATGTGAAGCATTGGATCACAGGTGGTAAACTTCAACTCAACACTCCAAAAATAACTTATAAAATCAATCATGATTATAGGTTAGTTTTATAATTATGGAGGGTTCACATGCTGGCTTTTCGCTTCTTATAGCGTAATGTGTTCTCATTGGCCGAATTGTGTCTGAAATATCTGAAAGCGCATATCAAGGTCATAAGTCGAAAAGTCAATTACAGTCCGACTTTTCGCGGAAAAAGCGGAGATTGTTAGGTTAGATTGGTTAGAAACAAAAAGATCGTCACGGCATTTCGTAGTATGGAAAACTATAATAAAATGCTGATTCAATTTCCTATTATAGTAAATGATACAGTTGTTGAATTTACGATAACCAATGATTACATTCATATTTTATCAACTAGTAGATATTGCATTTGTAGTTGAGTGTTTTTTATAACCAATGGAAGTAACGCCCCAATTTTTCCATTTGGAAGGAAAGTTGAAGTTTAAAAAATGACTGACGTTTGACGTCACTACCATTGAACTTTTCCTTCCCTTTCAAACCATGTTCCAAAATATATTATCGGTAGTTGAAAGGATCAATAAATATTTTATTT